TAAATGACAATAGCGGCTATTGTGAACGTCGAAATGACAGACTCGGATAAATTTGCTGAATGGAAAGAGCTAAAAAAACGGATATTCTTAGACTTTTGGAGAATGGATAGTGGTGAGAATAGTTTGGCTGCTGATTCAAAGCTAACAGTCGTTAACCAATCAGTTAGTGTATTCTACTTGCAGAGTACACAACAATTTCAGTATGTTTACAGACTGTCAAGAGGTTTTCATTGAACCCTCAGGAAAGTCTGTATGATCGATCCGCATACCGAGATTTCACTGCTTGACTTCTTGATGAGGAGAGTTATCAATAGCGAAAAGTAATGGTCTCTTGAATGGTGAATGAAACAAAAGAATCACAATAGAACGTCGAACCTGCAGTCCAAAAATTGAATCTCTCCCATTTGCAGTTCCACCATATTGGTTGTCCGATGTTGTAAGCGTGAACTTTTCTATTCTCAACGTAGTAATGTGCGTACGCAGATCCGTTGGCTGTGCAATANGAGAGTGCGTGATCACTTTAGAAATGTTTCATGTGCATATCGTTGAATTCATAATCTAAAGAACACTTTGCTGAGAATCTGTGCACATCCAGTCAAATGGATAAACAAATAAATATAGAGCATTCATCAAGATATTCGTCCGAACCACATTTGCTGGCAAACAATTTCAATAAGCTTATGCACCGTCAGCGCCTTGTGAGACGTATTTATTGCACTTTTCCTATCAGAATGTTACTTCCGAATTCATTACTGCTAAATTCTTTGTACTATATCCATTGTTTCGCCTCGTTATCTGCTCATTAACGTAATTTATTTGTGGTCCAATTGAATGTTGCCTTCATATGTAAAGCTGGGGATAATATTCCGTCCGCATCCCATTCGTTAATTCCACTAACAAAATTTGACAATTCTTCGTTTAGCAATCAATGTTGCGAAAATTCTCTTTGACTTGTTTTGAAACAATTACACATTATAATCAGTATGGTCGGCAAGCTTGGTTCAGAGATCACTCGTTTTAACTTCGATTTGAACTCATTAGAAATTCATTTACTTTGTCGCAACTAGTTGTAGCGAAAGAAATATAATGTGACGATTCATTAAAAGAAAAGAAGGATAGCATGAAAGTTGAATAGCTAATATTTCTTAGAATGAAGTATACTGTATAAAAGATAAACAATTAATAGATTTCACGAAAAATATTGAATACGAATCAAAACAAGCCAGATTGCCAGCATTCTCTTCCCGTTCAACTGAAACTTTGTCTACTAGCATTATGCTGATTGCGTTAATAGGCGATCGTTCAGTTTGTGTGTGACTATATTAATTAATATTGATATTGATTGTACACATGTTGTTCGTGCTTGTGGCCTGTCTTGAGCTATTGTTTCAACTGATTTGGCTGTCCAATTCCGAGATAAACGATTTTTATCGTCACATGATACCACGAGCAAGGAGAGAGACCAATGTGGTACAACAAAGGTAGAAGTATGGAAGTGCCAGCAAGAGATATCGCTACTGAGTCCCTCGCATATAGCGTCGGTTGGTTCCTCTGGACAGTATTGTGGCTAGCGCGAAAAACCGACATGAATAGATGAT